CATTTTTAGCGTTACATGAAATTACTTTACATTAAATAGTGCATTATCACATGATAATTGTACTGGGTGGCCCAGTCTATTGAACTATAAACCCGACCCAGCCCGGCCCAATAAACATGGGCCGGGTCCATGCCGAGCCTATAAGATAACGGGTCGGGTCGGATCAGGTTCATGCCGGGCCTATAAGTTAACGGGTCGGGTTCGACCCGGCCCATATGTTAATGGGTCAGGTCCATACCGGGCCTGTAAGTTAACGGGTCGGGTCCAGGCCCACAGGTACCCAGCCCGACCCGGCCCATTTCGGACCCTATTCATAGCAAAGTCAACTTTTGTTAAGCAATTGGAATTTAAAAATCATTTATATATACAACTATTTCAAACAGTTTTTTTTCTCTTCTTTTCTCTTCTCTAAATTTTTCTTCTCTAAATTTCTCTTCTCTGAATTTCTCTTCTCAAAATTCTCTTCTCAAAGTTTTTTTTTCGCTAAATTTTTTTTTTCAAATTTTTTTTCACTTCTCTTTTTGAATTTCTCTTTTCTTCCTTTTACTTCTTTTCACTTCACTTCACTTTTTGAATTTCTTTCTTTTTTCAAATTTCTCTTCTTTTATCGAATTTCTCTTTTCTTCTCTCTTACCGAATTTCTCTTTACTTCCTAAATTTTCTTTTCTAATCGAATTTCTCTTCACTTCCCAAATTTCTCTTCACTTTTCGAATTTTTTTCTCTTCCCGAATTTCTCTTCTCCCAAATTTTTCTTTTCTCAAATTTCTCTTTTCTTATCGAATTTCTCTTCACTTCTTGAATTTCTCTTTTCTTCTCTTATCAAATATCTCTTCACTTCCTGAATTTCTCTTTTCTTATGATTTCTCTTCTCTTACCAAATTTTTCTTCACTTTTCGAATTTCTCGGTTCACTCTTTTCATATTGAATTTCTCAATTTTTCTTTTTTTATCGAATTTCTGAAATTTCTCTTTTCTTATCGAATTTCTCTTTACTCCCTTTCTTATTGAATTTCTTTTTACTTTTCAAATTTCTCTTCTCAAAATTTTTTTTACTAAATTCTCTTTTGCCATGGCTAGAACAAAAAGAGTCCGACGAACAACACCCCCAAGCCAACGTTCATCTACCACAACTCATCATCAACCTAACAATACATCTTCAACTCCAACAATACCAACTCAATATCAACTTAACAATACACCTTCAACTCCAACAACTCCAAACTCAATGGCAACCTAACAATACACCTTCAACTCCAACAACTCCAACTCAATCTCAACCTCCTTCGACTTCAACTCAACCTCAACTTTTTTCGATTCCAACTCAACCTCAACCTTCTTTAACTCCAACTCAACCTCAACCTCCTTTGACTTCAATTCAACCTCAACCTCCTTTGACTCCAATTTAACCTCAACCTACACTTTCAACTCCAATTCAACTTCAACCTACACCTTCGACTCCAATTCAACTTTCGACCTGATTATTAGGAAATGTGACTTCTGTTGAATTTGTTACTCCTATCATAAGGTCTCCTGTGAGAACAAATAGAAGCAGAAGCAGAAGTGAAGAACGAACTGAATCTTTGGCCAACTTTAATCTATTAGAAAGAAGTAGAAGACTGAAGAATGGTAAATCTACTGATAGTATTTAAATAGCTGTCAAATGCTGATTTTATTTTTTTACTTTTTTTTATATTTTTTATTATTTTTTTTATTGTTTTTTTTTTATTATTTTTTTATTTTTTATATTTTTTTTTATTTTTTTATTTTTATTTTAGAAAATCGGTTGCTATGAAATGAGATCGATACCTTACATGAGATCCAAAGGAACCAAGATCATAAAATTATACAGTTGGAAAATACTGTGGATTTGTTACAGGATCAAGATCTTAAGTTCGTAGACTTTGAGAATAGTTTGATGTGTTGCAGGGTTCATATAACTTCTTAGTTGATCAGATCAACAGCTTGCAAGTTTTAAGTCACTAGTTATTGATAATTCAAAAGCAGATCAATTGGGTAGAAAGGAATGTGTCAGAATCTTCATTTGCCGCACAACAAAAAACAGCTAGAAAAGCTCCTGCGAGTAATAAGGTGTATCAAGTTTTTGAAAATGACCATG